CATCTATATGTTCAAACAGTCACTGTCCATTTAAGCCTGGACCAATTACCTACTGCATGTCCCTCAAAGTTCCACTTCCACTGACTGTGTAATCTCCAAACACTCGCCAATTGGTTGGGGAATACACATTTTTCTATAGTGACTAGAGGTTGCTATGGAAATGTGGATTGCCAGTTAGTATTTTGGCCTGCGTGACTGAACCTACATACAGACTGGAAGCACTGTGGTGACCAAACATCAGGTGAAGGTGAAATAATCGTTGGTAATAGGACGTGGGCAGGAGCCAAGAAACTTTAATTCAGCTTCAAGCCAAGCAATGGGACTACCGATAAGAACACATGATACTGCTGATTTAGATATGATGTGAAATGGACATCAAAGATAACCTGAGAAAAAGGTGATGTAGGATTTTAAAATTAATACCATGGGTGCGTTTACTAAAAATCGTGGACCGCAAGGTTAAGGCCAAGGGTCGCAGTTCCTGAAAATCACCCAGCATTTTTCAAATTTATTCCACAGGTGCATGTACGAGGAGGCTGAGGGGTAGCACTGGTGGACGTCAGCATTTTCAACCCCCAGTACTCTGTCCTTCTCTATACATGTGTTTTCTTTTTTGTTTGCAGCATAGTGTTTAGTGTAGCCAACACTGACTTGCATGACATCACTTGAGAATGTTTATTAGATTTTGCACAGCTTACCCTGGAACCATTAAAGAATTTATACCACTTTCATTGCCTCATTTGAAGTAATATTGAAGGCATAAAAGGAACATAATTAAAATCAGAAATATTTGTCAACATGCATCATACAATAGCTACACAAACCAGCGTACGGAGTTCCTCATGTTCAACACAAATGGCAATTTTAAGCAGTCAGATGAACGTACTCTGTAACATATTATCTCAACCATAATGATGTAATACAGATGCAATACATACTAGTGATTCAGTTTTCTAGTGAAACAAAGGCACTAACCATGTAAGCTAAAGTTAAATATGTTCGAACCATTTTCTTAAACTCCAACATATCACAATTTAGGAAATGAAATACTTTTTTTTCCAGCATCAGGAAGTCCAGCTGTACACTAACAGTTACACTTTATTCGCTTGGTCACCATAAGTAAAATGACTGGCTTTTTTGTTGTGTTTCTTTTTTTCCCCCCTACTATTTTAAAAACTGTATATCACAAGCTGGAAAGTCTTTGTGACCATCTGATGTCTGACTGCATTTTCTCTGAAATCTCTGTATATTTGCAAAGAAGAAAGTCTGGCGAAGGATTAGGGAAGAACAGCAAACTGCCAAAATCTGCACAGCCTGTCAGAGTTTGGAAAAGAATGAGACAGGAGAGGGAAAAAAAATGTCAAGAAGGAGACTGCAAATGAGGCTTGTTTCAATAAGAAGATCGATGGGGATGAAGAAAAGATGTTGTGTGCATCGATGATAGGTGTCCATGGGCAAACACGAGGGGTGCCTATAGAAGTGGGATATATGGGTATGTTGGGAGGGAAGTTGAGCAGTGAAGATGGTGTGAGAGAAATGATGGCGAAAGTGTGGCCCACGAGAGGCTGCAGATAAACAACAGTTTTTGACTACATTTCCAGTGTTTGTGTGACTTGAAAACCATTTTTCTAATAAAGAAAAGACCGTTTCATGATTATAGAAAAGACTACATGAGAAGAGACTCGGTAAGAAAGCGGTAAACAGCATCCAACAACACTTTTTAATTGCCGACTTGGATTTTGCTAAAATTCTGCTTTATCTCTTTGTATTGTATTTTTTGACTTATGTGTAGCCTTGATGATGATCATTCATGGCTTCTGTATTAAGTGGGAAATCTCTATGGGTTTGGTAATTATTTTAGGCTGTTGCCCTTTGTGTTATTCAGTTTCCTGGTCTGGACCTTTTGGGGGGAGATGTGATTGTTGAGGACAGCCCTTCAGCAGTTGTGCATGTCACAGGGTCTTGTGGGGGATACACTTTTCACCACGAGACCCATCATGGCAAACCAGCCCAAACAAACAGAGTTGCTCTGTTTATGATAATCTTCTTGTAGTAGTATGTTATTTATTTGTACATTCTCCTCTACGTTCGGCTTGTACCGCACGCTGCCTAGCTGTGTGCATATATTGAAGTGAATCCTTGTAAAGAAGAAAAACCTAGGTATTTCCCAGCCTTGATGTCAGCTGCGTTACTCAGCTTCTTTTTCTCAGTGTTGGCAGCTCATATGTTGTGAAACCACTGACCCTGAGCTTATGGATGAGCCACCAAAGAGCTTTCCCTCATCTAGTCATGATGCCATTAGTCAGTGGTAGCCTCTGAAAATTGAAAAATGATGTAACAGCGGCTTAGTGTATATCCATGTCACCTGTTTTGGTACCATTTGATTTGGTATTGTAATGACTGCAACTCTTTGAGCCTACGTTGTTCAGGAATGTGCCGCACAGTGTATGTGAGGACGTTGCAAGCTGTGGAACAAAGGCATATTGATTTTTAAAGAAGCAGTGCAGATATGCAGACATTTCTTGATAGGTGTCACTGTATGTTTATCAGATACCACTTCACTGATGTGTTCACAGTGACAGTAGGACAGATCAGTTGCAAGTGTGGAATATTTTTTGTTATTATTTTTGAAAGCTGATGGCAATAGGAGGAGATCTCTCCAGTGTTTCCCACCGCTTGCCATCCTGTGTTAAAAATAGTCATACAAACGGTGACACTGAGCCATCATGGCATGTCATTTTTGTCATCATCTCTGTGCTGAGAAATGGCTGGAACACATGTGACAACCCGTCAATTGAGAGGGGAGAGATAGTCACGATTGTCCACCTGGCTCATGTGTTTGTGTTGGGTTAATTTTCAAAGAATACACATGTAGGCTCTAATCATGCTGAAATAACATTAATTACTTAATGCATTGGCTCTGAGTCATTTTCTGGGTTCATATTTTACTTTTCTTCCCTGGTGCAAAAATAAGGTCTAGGAGTAACCTCTTCTTGTGGCTTTTAATTCCAGTGACAAGACCATCTTGCCAATGTCAAAAAGTGATGATTTGGAGATGATAACATGTAAACACCTTAAAAGTTTTGTAGTTCTTCACCATTTTTGGAATTGGCCATTCTCCAAAACTAAAACCATTGTAACAAATATAACACAGTGTGAAGAGGTACCAACACCATCCTTTCGGATAGTGTTTACTGAATGAAGATGGAGAAAGCACTAGGCACTAACAAGTCCCTAACCCAAAGGTGCTCTCCTCTCCATCTTGTGCTAGCAGTGGGGCTCTTGAGCATGTTGTTCACACACAGGCACATCCATCTTCTTTTTATCCCAAATTACTTGCCGTCTTTGATTCTCACTCCCCGTGTAAATGAAGTGGGTGTGAGAGGGCGGGAAAGTGGTGGGCTGATGGATCTTATTAAAGGTGTTGCATTGATAATCAGTGGAGAGACAACAAGATATGGGTTGAGCAAGGAGGAGAAAGAGAGAGGCAAGAAAGGGGTTGGGGGGAGGGGGGGGGAGATAACAAAAGATATGTCTCTGTTCACAGTGGCAACATGCCCTTGAGAGGACGGAGACAGAAAAGCCAAAGAAAGACAGAGAGAGCATGGGAAAAGAGATGGAGGAGACTGTTGAGCTGTCACAAATGTAGCCGTTATGTCACTTTGGTTTATCTCCATCAGTGCATCTGACTGACCAGGGAGGCAATTTCACATGTTTGAGCTGAGTGAAACTCCATGTTTACGAAGGGATAAACGTTTGTAGGACTCTCTCTCCCTATCCTTCCATCCATTCCGTTTCCTGGCCCTGCTCTAGACCTCCATTTAGAAAGTGAGAAATTACACATCTTTATTTATAAATCATGGAACTCCCATATCTTCCACTTGGTAACAATAACTGCACAATTCATTTGCCTTTTTCTGGAGGCACTCTGTCTGCTACGGTGTGAGTGTTGTTTTTTTCCATATGATAATGTGTTTTTTCTCAGTTTGATTTGTTTATATTGAACTGTGAACATACAGTGCGCAACATTACCGAAACACCAGTCTGATCTTTTCCTAACATTGTTCCTATTCAGTGCAACTGCAGGTCATGCCTTACAGAGTTCTTGCAATGAACAGAATATCACTTTGACAGGAGACCTCAGGGGGATGCTATCCTGTCTCTCAGTCGGATTATTTCCACCTGCTACGATGTGTGGCCTGGAGGACATGCTATTATGATATTTTCTTTTTAAAAGAAGGCATATGTTTGACTGTAATACATACAATCAGATCTTGTTCTGTTTATATCCAATGGTGGGCTAGGTTTGGATACAGCTGCAACAGTATTTGTTGCATTTCTGTATTTAAAGGGAAGTGATATATAATTTTTAAAAAACACCTGGATTATACAGGCAAAACTCAGACCTTCAAGCATTTATCTGGCCTGTCTATCGGTTTAGGTTCTCAGTAAAGCCATTGTCAGGAAATGTTGAAATTTTAAGGCTTTAAAAGTAAGTATGATTATGCCACAGAAAGTTACAGAGTCAAGGACCATTTTCATGTTATTTCATGTCAGTTTTATGTCAGGATAATTTCCTGTATGGTTTAGATGTTTTTTTATAGATATTTAGAAATTTTCCATTTATATGTCATGTTCAGGCAAGCAATACAGGATATATAAAAGAGTTAGAAATATGTCAACGAGCAAAAGAATTACACATTAGTTTTGAATGTATTTAATTTTCTAAAATGTCCTTATTCTGCCAATAGTTATCATGTTCAGACTTTTGAAACTTGAGATCTCTTCAGCATAAACTAAACGGCTAAATCACTTTTTAACTCACCTACAGCTGGTGGAGGATTTTGTATGCACAAGATTAATGTTTGGGCTTTTTTAAAATTATAATTACAATTACACTTAAGCATTGCAACAAACTGCATATGCCTTGTTCTGGTTATTGATTGGGATTTTATTGCCTTATTCTTTATGACCACCCTTCTTATCTCATTATGTTGTAGATAAACTAAGTTTGCCAAGCTTGGAAGTCAAAGTCGAGGTGATGTGGGATGAGAAAGGAAAGAGAAGTGTTTGGGGCTTGTACAGAAGGTATTATACACACACTGGTACACTGCATGCTAGAGAAAACACACTGAGCCTGTGAGCTTGACTTTATTAGATTCAAGCTTAAAGTATTGTCAGTTACAGCTGGAAAGCTGACTTTACGTAATCGCACAGCCTGAGACAGCCAAGCAACCCAAGGATGCACGAAAAGACACACACACACACACGTATATGTGTGTGTATGTATATGTATATATATATATATATATATATATATATATATATAATCTCTCCAAATTTAGATATTTCTTATACTGTGAGGTGTGAAAACTGAAAGTAGGCTAAATTGAATTGTTTATTATTAGAAGAATTTAACTTTTCTAGCTTCAGTGTAAAAGAAGAACAAACTGCTTACAGAACTTTTAAATGAATTAAATTAAATGGAAAAAAAATAAAATGACAAATCTGTTAGATGTGTTGACAACAAAAACAGTGTCTGTGGAAAACAATTTTTAAACTTTATGAAAATAACCCAAGAGTTATTATTCACTTTTGTTTGTCATTGTTTTTATTTTTTAATTATTGCTTGCTTTAAGCAGCAAATTAACTTGCTTGTGGCCAATGCACTGCTAAGAGATTACAGTAATTTCACCTATTTCTATGTGACCAAGTTGAGTTGTAAAACGAAACCTTGTAAAACCTCAATATTCACAAGGTCTGAGTACTGAGCAGCTCCCATTAGCAAATCAAAGTCATTTGCTGATGGTAACTGTCAAATTTCAGCTGTTTATTTTTCTCACTACTCTTACTAGCACCAATATCTTTTGCAGCTTTAATGATATAGAGGAATAAAGGCAACACAGATACAGAGAGAAAGCAGAATATCTGTGTCAAACAGCATGAGATACTTCTGAATTCTGTCCTATCCATAGACAGCAGAAAACATTGACATGCCTCCCGTGACGTTTGGAAGAATCCAGTTGAGTGTTTTTGTTGTTGCCACCTTGGTGTTTTGAACTCAATCTGACAAAAAAGGGGTGGATCTGACTGTGAACCCACATGCTCATTGGCTAAGGACATGTCATTTACAAGCACCGAGCCAATGATCATACTGTGCATAATCTTTCTTTTCTGAAACAGCCTAACTTTTTATTCACTATGACACAAAATGAGTGATGGAGACCATGAATGTGGCAAGAAAGTGTTTACAGAGGTCAAGTCAGAGAGCAGTTTTCCTGTAGACTTCTATATTGTTGGAAGGTTTAGGGTTTTTTTTGCCACCACCCCCACAGAGATTGTCCCCTGGTGGCCATTTAAAAGAATGCAGGCTTAAGGTCCTACCATGTTTTATACTGTTTATGGTCCTGTCAGAGAGCAGGCTGGTAAAATGAACTAACATTGAATCATTAGAAATGATTTCGTCATTCCATTAATTCGACTTTTAAGTTGGGCTGGCTCAGATTCGTTCAGCATACGCTAGCCCTATCTCTTCTTTTCATCCCAGTTTTGTTAAATGTCACATTTCTCAATTTGTCATTAGTCAGAGTTCAGTGTGGAGTGACACTGACTGACAGCCAAGTCACGCTGTGGCAAACGATCAGTGATGGATTTGACTGAACCAGCTCAAAGGGTTGTTTAAAAAAAAAAGCATGATTTTATTATTACTTGTTTTCATCCGTTGCTGAAAATAGTGAAATTATCATCGAAATACAGTTTGTTTAAATGTCATCGTCTGCTGGCAGGGACCCTACGATGTAATAAAAAAAAAAAAAAAAAAAAAAAAAAAAAAGCAGGGTAGCAAAACTAGAACTTTCCTCACCCTGAGAATTGAGAAATGGGGATGCTTTTACTTCCCTTGTTTTATTTATTAGTTAATCACAGTGACTTGGTGATGGTGCTTTATGAAAAGTAAAAAGTATAAGTAATGTGTAATTTTTCCTGGGGTTCATCCTCTGAAATCTATGATATCTCTGCAAAAATGTGTGAGTTACAGTTAGTCAGATTAATGAGAGATTTCAGAGATTTGTTGTTTGTGTATTTTTCTTTTCTTTTTTTTAGGGTCACAGACAGAGATGTGTCTGGTCTGTTAATTTACCAGAAAACAGTAAAAGTATATTAAAACAAGAGATGTGAGAGAACATAAGGGTCAGTGTGGATGATGCAGTTACGATGCGTAAGTACAACAGAGCCAAGAACTGAGCGAAATGCATAGAGGAGGAAGAGGACAAGGCTTAAAAATTTCCCCCACATCGCGTGCCTTTGGGTTATATCTCAAGTGCACCAATGAAACAATGTTTTCTCACAATAAATTACACATGAAATTGCTGGATCATATTTGCAGACTACATATAAATGTCATTAGGTATTTAACTGTGTGTCTCTTTGAATGTTCCTATCTGCGCCTCTGTTATGCTGCCTCCTTGTCTCTCTCTGTCTCTCAGAGGTTTTTTTTGTTTTAATTCGTTTCTCTGGAGGGGATTAGAATAGCAGCAGTCATGAGGGAGTTGTTACCTGGATTAAACTTGATTGGTTGCTTTCTTGATTGTTGATGATAGTAACATAAAACAGTAATCCACTGGATAATGATGATTCTCTCGAGATGGTAACATGGAATTAGAATCACCAGGAGGCTATGTTTTCTAACTACCAACTAAATTAAAAATCTAATTTTCATAGCTTTGTTTTATTGCTTCTCCCATTTCTAAATCTTTATAGAAAAACAGATACTGCTAAGTATTAGTACTAGACTAAGATAATAAGCTGTCTGCGCTGTATGGGTTTATTTAATGATCTGAGTGAGAGCTATTTTAAGCTTAAATACCGGACATTAGCAAAGTAAATTGCAATGACACTATAGCTGACTGAAAACACAAACTGTCAGCTATAACTTTTGAAGTATTTTTCTTGTCAGTGAAAAGGTGTTGTACTTGTCAAGCAGCATAAATGGATGTTGTGCATTTTCTCTGGTGACACAGGTTTTAGCAAAAGATGCTCTTTTTGGATACAATCTGGCGCGATACAGCAGATACAGTATATATATTTAAGTTGAATACTGAGCCTTGTGAAATTATGTGATGTTGATAGTCATGGATGTCTTTTAGTACATTTGGGTGGAAATGTGTAGGCCGGTTGAACATGCTTATTGAATGTTATTCCAGCCGCACCTCGGCGTCTCCCCAAGTCGCCCATTAACTGAAATGTGTGAGCAAATGCATTTGACTGTGCTGAGTGTGACTTTGCTGAGTGTGACAGAGTTTTCTTTTCAGAGGAGGAAAACAGCGCCTCTTGAATCATTGGAGCGTGATGCATCTGTATGGCAGCAAGTTGGGCCTCTGCACTCGTGCAAATGCTGTGACACCCTGCTCTGCAAATGTCAGTCCCATCCAATTAAATGGTTGAGTGATGCCATTGCCCACAAGGGGATCCCGCCGATGAAGTTCTTTGTTTGTTATCGGCTTTGTTTCCCGTTTTTCACTTTCACAGACAAGAATGTTGTTCATAGATGCCCCTGCAATACATTCTGAGAGAGGGAAGACCCGTGAGCTGTTACAGTGCCATGTTTCATGCAGAAGTACCCTCATGCTCTGTCTGTGATTCTCTTGGGTCATGTCTGTGCTTGTTATTCATTTGCAAGCAGTTTGGACCACCTACACATTGGCTATATTTACAACAATGTCAGTCTGTAGTCTGCAGTTAACTTCACTTTGATTATTGGTTGCTCTCCTTGTCAAGCACTTACATTATCTGTCTAGGCTCAAGATATTCATGTGAATGTTCAAGAGCAACCAACAGTAAGCAGTGGTCTCTGCTGAGTGATGATAGATTCATAAAAAATCCACACAAAGCTCAGTTATTGTCATTATAATGCTATAATGCTGTTCTGTCTGCGGCAGAAAACAGCACAGTTTTATGTTTCCTTGGAGATTGAGCTAAAAATTAGCTTAACATTTGCCACCACACTGTCTCGTGGTATATGAATACAAGGGGAGTCTCATACTTGTTTTAATTTTAACATGTTTTATATAAAAGAATCCCATAATGATGAGCCAGGCCAATATAGTCATCTAAGAGGACATACTTTACTGTAATGTTCACAGAGAAAAATTCCTTAACATGACTATAAGCCATACTGTTTGTTCTTGGCTGTCTATCAGAGCATGGAAGGGTTATTGGCTGACTTTTGCTCATATAAATCCTGCTTCAGCAGCCACAGTCATTTCCACATATTAATTAAGCCAACTTGCAAACCTACTGCTAGTAGTAGCTGTGCCAATTTGCCACTCTTACAACAAGAAGATAACGCGGAGGAGAAGTGTGCAGGCATTTGCTGTCTTTTAGGAAGGAAGGTCTTAACCGGTGAATTTGGATCTCGAGGCATATTCTCCAGATGCTAGGCCAGTCCCACCCTTTTCTGTTGGATGTGTGTTTCACACTCTTACTAAAGTCATTAGCCAAAGCCTTTTACACTTTGGCACCAAGACATTTTTCAGGAAAGGGATTTAAGAGCTCTGTTGAACTGTTTCCTTAACTGGGCTTGGTTTGTTCACCATGTTTTTTTCCTGTTGAGCTTATGCTAAAAAAAAATGATTCAGATAGTGATTAAAAAAAAAGGACAGACCTTATAGGACTGTAATTCCCTAAAAGGAATTTGATGTTCATTCCACCATGTTAACAGTGACACTCTCCAAAGGCAGCACATGTGAAAGGTTGGACACTACATTACAGGGAAATGTTTTGTGTGAGGGGCTTCTGTATGGGTCAGTGGGTACTGCCAAGAAAATATTCAGAATCTGACATTTGTTCAGGGCTTGTCTTCAATCTGCTGTAAATATTTTCTTTGCCAATGAAGTTAAGTCACATTTGTGACTTATAAGAATTATAATTCTCTCCAAACACATTCGAAATGATTGGTTAACTCTACAAGCATATTGAATTCCTCCTGAAAAACTGATGATTACATACTGAGGGTATTATGAGAGCTATTTTGGGAGAATGTGTGCAGTGAGTTGGCAGTGGTAGACATTAAGTGGTCTAAAACTAGATTTTTCAGCCTGGCTTATTAAATGTTTGCTAATTGACAGTGCAAAGGTCATGATGTTCTTGGCTTGAAAATGCTCAAATACCTCGGGACAATTTAGCTGTCTACTATTTCTATGTTTAAGCTAATTGAGAAATCCAGTACATTCTTTTTCTTTTAGCTTCTGTGCAGTACCAATATATTAGAGAAAAGAAAGTGGACATTTTATAAAGATTAAAGGACATGTAAGTTATTAAATGCAACAGCTGCTTAATATGGAACATTGAATTAGTTTTATATGTCAGACATAAGTTACAAAAGTTAAATAGTAAAAAATAAATTACACTGCTTACAATATGGATTCCTGGATACATGCATTTTTTAAAATCCTGCAGATTTCATTTAAGAAAAATAAATATGAAGGCAAATATATCAGACACAAAAACATAAAAGCACCAACAAATAATCCAGAAAGATAGCAGTGTGGTTAAATAGTAGATAGCTTTAAATTCATAGACACAATAAATTTAAGTAATCAGTTCACTGTAGTTTCGTTTATATACCACCATTTCATTGTCTGAAAGCATTTTATCTTGTAAAGGTAAACAATTTCCAAATATTAGCATGAACACCAGCCATGAGATCCACTGTGAGTAATCTGACTCCAATGGTGGGGGGGAAGAACTCCCTAGAAGAGACCCCTGGCACAACCAGGTTTTGGTAGGGGGAGCCATCTGCCATGAGTAGAGTTGAAAGACAGGAACAAAGGTTAATGACATGCAAATAGTGGCAAATAGATGGGTAATCAAAAGAGAAGAGTGAAAGACAAGCTCTCATTGCATCATGGGAAGTCCCCCTATAGCAGTACACCTAAAGGGTGTTCTACAGTAGAGCTTAAGGCTCTGACTCCCAATTAACAGTATTTGAATAAGAGATTTAGCTTTGAATTTAAATCTCATCATTATGTACATGTTTAGAGTCCACATTAGCAAAACTCCAAAACACTTTTTAAAAATTCACAGCACTATGTTTACAATATCATAACAAATTAAGACATGTATTATATTTTGTGACTCCTCTAACAACTGCAAGGAAACTACATTAGTTCTGACTTTAAGATTAAAAAGCAATGACTTGTACAACAAGCTCAAGTAGACAAATGCAGCAAGTCCCTGAGGGGTTAAGAAGTGTCCATCAACTGTCTGTCTGCGCCTCAGCCTCAAGCTTTTCCTATCCTCTATCAACTCGCCTCCCTTCAAAGTGTCAAGTCAGTAAAAAGTTTCTTTAGACAGTGGAGACTCTACTGAGTGCAGCTATAGCCTAAGGAAGATTTATTAAATTGTAGTCTTTTTTTCTCAAAATTGAAAGTGACAGAAGGAAAAAAAGAAAACAAATTTAACGATCAAAACGATTTGTTACGAGTTTTGTTTGTCTATGGATGTCTGACAGCTGATAAGGAAACGTTGAAGCATTGACGGGAATAAATAAGTTCCAAATGATGAGGAATAGTTTTTGTATATTCATACTGAACACTTAGAGTTTTGTGTATAACATACATACACCGACAAGGAGATTATGGCATTGATGGAATACAACTCTGACAGCAGACACAATGTGGTAGGTTATACCTTTAGGTATATAAATATTTGAACAGAGACAACTTTTAAAAAAAATAATTTTGGTTCTGTTTGTTACCACAATGAATTTTAAATGAAACAACTCAGATACAGTTGAAGTGCAGACTTTCAACTTTAATTCAGTGGGTTGAACAAAAAAGGCTGCATTAAATGTGGGGAACTGAAACATTTTTAACACAATCCCTTCATTTCAGGGGCTCAAAAGTAATTGGACAAAATAAATAACTGAAAATAGATTGTTCATTTCTAATACTTGGTTTAAACCCTTTGGTGGCAATGAAGGCCCGAGGTCTTGTTCTCATGTACATCACCAGATGCTGGGTTTCCTCTTTAATGTTCAACCAGGCCTTTCAGTTGCTTTATGTTCGTGGGTCTTTCTGTCTGAAGTCTAGTCTTCAACACATGCTCTTCTGGGTATTCCACTTCTTTGCTTTAAAAAACTCCTGGGTTGCTTTGACTATATGTTTTGGGTCATTGTTCATCTGTATTATGAAATGTTGGCCAATCATTTTCATTGCATTTAGCTGGATTTGAGCAGACGGTATCTCTCTGAACACCTCACAATTCAATCAGCTGCTTCTGTCCTGTGTCACATCATCAAAAAACACTAGTGTCCCAGTACCACTGCTAGCCTTGCATGCCCAAGCCTTTACACTTCCTCCACTGTGTTTTACAGATGATGTGGTATGCTTTGAATCATGAGCTGATATACGCCTTCTCCATACTTTTTTCTTGCCATCATTATGGTAGCGGTTGATCTTGGTTTAATCTGTCTGTGCTGTCTTTTTTAGATGTTTTATTTTGTTGTTTGTTTTTTAGCAAAGTCCAATCTGTTCTTTCTATTCTTGAGGCTTATTAGTGGCTTGCACCTTGCAGTGGACACTCTGTACTTATTTTCATGCAGTCTTCTCTTCATGGTAGACTTGCATTTCAATACGCCTACTTCCTGGAGAGTGTTGTTCACTTGGTTGACTGTTGTAAAGGGGTTTGTCCTTACCCTGGAAATGATTCTGCGTTCATCCACCTCTGTTGTCTTCCATGGATGTCCAAGTCTTTCTGCATTACTGAGTTCATCAGTGCTTTCTTTCTTCCTCAGGATGTACAAAACTTTAGATTTTGCCACTACTAATATTGTAGCAATTTTTTGAATTTTTTTTTTTCTGTTTTCACAGCTTAAGGATGGTTTGTATCACCTGCATGGAGCAAAACTTTCCAAATACAAGCACCACATCTCAAATCAACTCCCGGGATACTGATAGTGGACTTCCGGAGGTGCAGAGAAGTACACACCCCCATCACCATCAACGGTGCTGCTGTGGAGAGAGTGAGCAGCTTCCGCTTCCTTGGTGTACATCTGGCTGAGGATCTTACGTGGTCAGTACACATAAACAAAACAGTAAAGAAGGCACAACAGCGCCTCTTCTTTCTCAGGAGACTGAAAAGATTTGGCATGAGCCCTCGCATCCTCAGGACCTTCTATCGCTGTGCCATTGAGAGCATCCTCACTGGATGCATCATCACCTGGTATGGCAACAGCACCGCCTACAACCGCAAAGCTCTCCAGAGAGTAGTACAGTGTTCTGGACGGATAATTGGAGGTGAGCTTCCCTCCCTCCAGGACATCTACAGGAAGCGGTGCCTGAGGAAAGCGGGGAGGATCATCAAGGACTCCAATCACCCCAGCCATAAACTGTTCAGACTACTTCCATCAGGAAGGAGGTTCTGCAGCATCCGGTCCCGCACCAGCAGACTGAGAGACAGCTTTTTCCATCAGGCCATCAGACTGCTGAACACTTCATAGACACCTCACCTTCACTACTGGAACTTCAACATTATGCACACAAGAATTTCACTCACATGTACTGTACCAGTGTACCTGCACATGTGATGTGACAATAAAAGTGATTTGATTTGAATAAAAGTGCTTTCAGTCTACCACTGCAGCCTTTTCCTCCTTGTCATCCCCCTCTGTGTCTGGTTGGTTGGAAAATAGCTGCATTTTCATCTGAAACTTGTAGTCCCAGATGTTCCAATCACTTCAATGGTCACAAGTGTCCAGAATCATTCTTCTAAAAGCACTTGTGAAAAAAATGGATTGCTCTCAGGAGCTCGGTGAATTCCAGTGTGGTACTGTGATAGAATGCCACCTGTGCAACGAGTCCAGTTTTGAAATTCCTTGCTACTAAATATTCCACAGTAAACTGTTGGTGGTACTGGTAACAATAGCAACTCGGCCACGACATGGTCGGTCATATAAAATCAGAGAGCGGGTCAGCGGATGCAGAGGTGCAGAAATCACCAGCTTTCTGCAGAGTCAATCACTACAGATCTCTAAACTTCATGTGGCTTTCAGATTAGCTCAAGAACAGCTCATACATGGGTGACATCAAGCTGTATGCCAGAAGTGAGAGAGACATCTACTCACGGATCCATCTCACCAGGATCTACATTAAGGACATTAGGATGTAGTGTGGTCGAATGGTTACAAATAGAGGTGAAGTGAGCTGAATGAATGGAACTACCAGTCAGAATAGCAAAAATGCAGAAACACGGGACAACTGCAAGTACCTGGTTATTCCACACGCCAGCAGCAACTATGATAAAGATGTGAAAGGTCAGCCATAGCCAAGTACCTCTAAAAGACGGGGGCTGAGAACCTAGTAATAAGATCCAAGCTATAAATATGTGTGGGTGTTTGAGTGTGAGTGTGCATTTACATCCAAGAGCACTCTAACATTTTGCTATCATATTTTAGTTGAAAATATTTTTTTTCTCCATGTTATTTGATAATTATTTGATATAAATGAACATAATTCTTTGCAGTGCCTCTTAAGATTATCAAGGTTTGTATTAGTGAGTTTTGTAAGAGTCCAGATATTTCATTTTCTGAAATTACACAGAGCATAAGAAGGCCCATCTCTTTACCTAAGTTAAAATAAACCTAGAGGCTCAAGGCCCATTATTCTCTATTTTCTTTGGTCTCATCTGAAACATCAATAGATTTAAGCACTTAGCAAGCCTTTGTCACCAGCTGCTTGTCCTCAGCCCACCAAGTATCCAAGTCTTTGGAAATTAAAACCTTGAAAATTGATAATAGTAGTTTGGAAAAGCTTGAGGAGCTCAAAACGCAGTTATATGCAAACTGAAACATCATCTAACCAGGAGTGTCAAACATAAGACCTTCAATCTGGTCCATTGGAGGACTGAAAAATGTTGAGGAGTGCATACATTTTAGACTTTCAACTGTATTTTCATTAGTTTTACAGCTTTTCCTACTGATAAAGATCTCCCCATGGCCATTCATTTGTTGAATCTGACATATTTATTTTTCACAATTTAAGTCCAAAGAGTTGCACTAACAGATTTCTTTCATTTACTGCAACACCATTTTCTTTGTTCATGAGACATAATGTTGAAATTGCACTTCTTTGCGTAGTTCAAGCTCTTTACATTGACAGTTTCATTGGTCTGGTCTATTTGAGAACAAATTGCATTGTATGAGGCCCACGATGTAAAATTTGTTTGACATCCTCGATCTAAACAGTTAAAAGATTACTGGTTTATGTTTTATTCGTTGACGACATTGGATATTATTAGTTTAGAAATTTCAGTACTTTGTAGTAAGTTGGATTGAGTAAATTGGGATTGGGTGGGATGTGGTATAGCATGGGAAAAAAAATCTAATCTAAGCTGTAAGAGTGAGTAGAATCTTTTTTTTCGCTTCAATTCATCTTTATCTGCATGGATTTATGCAGCTGTCCCAGCAATTTGCCGGTCTTTATGCTACACCCTGTTATCAGACTTCAAAGACCATGCTGTGTTGCTTATCAAAGTGTTCAGGGTCTATAAAAGCTTATCGTGGTGGGACATCACTTCTGACACCAACAATGTGTGTTTAGGGTGAGATTGGGCTTTTGATTTTAACTAAACCTGTAGCTGATACAGCGCTGATGATGCTTGTTTGTTGTTTTGCAAAACTGATCAAATGTGTCTCAGAATCAAATTGCCATGAGGGAGTATAAGTTATTACTAGTTCTCCTTTGTGATATTTTCTAAGACTGACCAAGAAATATCTCACTTATAGTTTTGTAAATAAATATTAAACTATATCAGTGTGACAGCCTTGCATGTAAGGGTGACGGAATAACTTTACTCTAAGAGCTGTTTGCTACAATAAATATAATATTGGGTGTTGGGACCATTACTGGTATAAGATAAGTAGTAGTAGAAGTATCCCTACTACCTGAAGAAGAAGCTTCAGATATAATGTACAGCCAGTTAGACTATTTCATTGATTTTTGCTGCCCTTTTACTGAAGCAAAGAAAAATATGAAAAGGTCTGAGGTTTACCAGTACTTAGTAACAGCTAAGGTGTGGTTTATGTAGGGAAATGGAAAAGAAGCCTCTCAAAAGAGGCTTAGAAGCACATCAGGACCTCAATGCTGCCCTGTACCACCGCAATTGTGTGATTATTTAAAGACAAAACTACCCAAATGCAAAACCAAATCTTTATTACAGAGGTTTAAGCCGCAAACAGGAGGTCAAAACAAATGAAACAACATGTAGACATGTAGTAGGAAAAAGGAAAAAGAACAATAGGAAAAGACAAAATTGCAAAAACAAAGGAAAGAATTGCCAAGAGGAAGACTGAGGTAAAATTGTTAGTCCTTGCTGAAACAATCAAGAACTAAATCATTTTGTGCGACAAATACATTTTTCTATTTGACTCTTGTGTATAGTTTGTCTTTATGAATCTCAACCTTGAAGCTGTGCCTGTAATTTACACAAGCTCTCATGGAGCTTGAATGAAGGGAAGCTACGCATCAGCTTCTTCAGTTTGCCATTTTTGTTTCTCAGATATGGCCGTTTTAACACGCTGGGCAAAGGGTGATTTCAACTTGGAAGAACAAGACAGTGAGAGAAAAGCTAGAAGACAGAGCAGAGGGAGATTGATTGGGAGACATACCTTGGCTAATGGAAAAGCCTTCGGATGAGACTGTAATCTGGTTAAAATGTCAGACTGCTTTCAGCCGGGGAGCCTGACGTTTTCCCAATTAAGCAGAGGTGCAAAGGCAGCTTTTCCCTAATTGTTTAACATGTAGTCCAGTGGCCGAATGGCACAACTTACACAGGTATTCAGGAGATCACCATGTGGTGATTGACATAGCCAGCCCTCTGTGATGTCTACTCCATGAACCTCATCAGCCTTCAGGTCAGCACCTGCACAACAAAAGAAGGGCTTGTGGCTCGGCTTAGAATGAAGAGCTTCAGAGGGATAATGAAGCTGTTATCAATAGTGGTGGTTATCAGACATGAGTAGTTTTGAAGGACTTCATTTATCTTCATTATTAGTCTAAATATGTCATTCAGATATTTGCACCTCCCTCTCTGTTGACCATTCAGAATAATTCAAATAAAGAACAAGGGAACTGCTTTCCCTCTTCTTTTTACTGCCTTTTTTCAAGTCCTGCAATATGTCCAGTTTTACTGAGCTACTGCCATAGATCCTGCAGGGCTCTCAGAAGTGAAACATCCAATTTTGGCCAGTCTTGTGTTTGCAGCAGTCCTGCGCTGGAGTGGCTGGTCAGTGCTGAGTTTCACTGTGTTTGGCCAGCTTAATGAAACCTTGATTTCCCAAACTCCCTTTCTGTATGTTTCTTCTCTCATCACTCTGCTCAGAGTCTCTGTGCCTCTGACAGTGCCAGGAGCTGCCATTTGGTTTTGTTTGTAGAGTGCTCATAGCCAACTGAATCAACAAGCTGACTGATTAAAATGAAAATGGGCCCTCACTCTTGGCCCTCTATTTCTGTCTTCTGTTTTCTCTCTGCTCAGCTGTGGGGGCCTTGCTATATACATTTTCCTCTCATGAATAACAGTGATAAACCTCAATATCTACCACTGCCACTTGAAATAAAAAGTTAATGAAACATAAGAATTGTTTGGATGTCAGACTGTGGAAGATGGCGTGTTTCTGGAGAGTTCCAGCACTTCAGGCAATATTTAACTACAGAAATTGCTGACTCAAACATGCAGAAATCTCCTCTTTACCGTTGGTAATGCAATAATAGAACTAGTCAGCATTGTTGGATTTTAGGTTATTCATTAAATGTCAAATATGAGAAGCTTGTTTATGAAGTAATCTATCCTGCTATTTTTTTCTATTTAGGAATTTTGTAGTGATTAAAAAGGTGTGTTAAAATTAAAGTTGATTTAACATAGCGGGGCATCTGAGATGTTGTTATCGCTGCCTCTGCAGAAAAATAACTTACTGGAACTTTATATATAGTATGTTCGGACTTGTACACGTGCTCAGCTGCACTG